CAGAGTTTCTCAAACGGTTCTCCAATCAAATAATCACCATCGAGATACGCCTTTTCGTGCGTCAAGCGACGATTTATCCGAAAGGCTATTCAACCTATTCAACTCTCTTGTGCATATATTGTGGACCAGGTGGTCGAACGCGTCACCCACTCCCACGTGCTTGCGGTCCGCGTCATTCTTTCCTCCAAACGTTACACGGTATCGGTAATTGGCCGGCGTTGTAGCCGGCGCGGCGGAGTCATAACGACACCGTTCGCGGTCTCCGGGGGTATCGAATCGAACACGCCGCGTTTTCCATAAGCGATAAGCGATCGCGCGGGTCCACGCGCGCGTGAGAAGATGCGCCGCAGATGCGGAAGCGTCTCTCGGTACTCTCGGTAGAGAGCCGCGCGCGCGCGCGCCACGACGGAACCTAAATACCTATCGCCCGTTAGGCGTGCACGCTCGTGCGCGCGTTTGCACGCTTTGGCGTGTGGAGGTGAGATAAAACGCACGCGGTCCACGTCGAGGTCGCGACGCGTGAGATCGCTGCATGCGGCAGAGAAGAGAAGGTGCTGGAGGTGGAGGAGGCTCGATGCAACGTTCGTTTGCACGCTCGCACCTGACTCACCTCACCTCGCGCGCGCGCATACACACACACCCTCACGTACACGTGTTTACGGTATTTGATCGTCGTTCACTTAGCACGGCCCAGTGACCCGTATAACCTAAGGTCTGCTTATGATCGAAGAGATTTCCGTGTATCTTTCCCTTAACGGGACGATACGAGAGCCAGTGTTGCATCTTACGAGGATCGTTTCGGTAGTAATAGTCGAGCGGCGGCGTGTCGAATTCATTAAAGATATTCAAATCAATGCGAGTGACTTTTTTCGTGGGCGCATATGATTTTTTCCACTTTACGCCGACAACTCCGCAGTTCGGTATCGGAACCGTGTTCCACCGCGAGACGAGAATTAGCATTAATGGCAAAAGGTCTTAGTTCTTGTAATACTTTCCATGGTGAATATTTATAATCTCACGAGTTTGTAGGACCTTTTGAAAGTTCATTTTGTATGGATACATTGGTGTTCTGTTTGAAATTCTACATTGGGTTTTTATTCGTGTCAAGCAGTATTGTCAGAGATGTTGCAATAAACCCAGAAGCTTTAGAAAATCGCGTACAATTATATTGCCAACGGGATCGAGCGAGAGTCAAAAGGGAAGGGAGGAAAATGTGGCGATAACGAGGTGCTCATCGCACACGTCTCGCTTCCTTACGATCTCATGGTTCTTACGATTTCTCTCCGGAATGTGCGACGTCGAGACTGATCGCCTTCGCTAATGTCGATGAATACAACTCGGGCGTGAGATGATTTATAACGTTAATTTTGTAACGAGCGCGAAACGCACGTCGCTTCTTGGCACGTGGTTTAGTTTTTACTTCCCACGTCGGTGCTTCGCGCGCCGCTCGATACTTTCGATCGATACGAGATGAGACATGAGTCTTCTCGCGCTCGAGAGGGGATCTGAAAAATTCGTAATTGGGTTGAGCGTCACGCTCCGGCCGCGTCGCGCATGAAATATTCGTACGCCCGTTTTAAATACCGGCGGCTTTTAAATGCATATAATTCCCGGATGATGATATATTATAATCTTTTTATGGCCGCCGCGGAGTGTGTACATTAGTTAGCGCGTGATTTAACTTTCATTTCCCACGTTTGCCTCCCCGACCGATCGATAACTCAACGTTCGGAGTCGAGTAGTTGCAAAAACGTCCGGTGTACTCGTCTGATGTATCTGCATTTAGTAAAAAAAGAAAACCAAACTTTCTGTGTGCTCCGTGATCCGTGATTATTCTTTTTCGCAAATGATTGACTACGAATGAGCAGTCCATCCTTCATCACGTGATATTCTTGCTCTTAATTTTTTTTTTTTTAGATAAAATTTTATATTGTCTTTTATTGCATAATATCACTTTTTATTAGAAAACTGTTTATTAGAAAATAAGGACATCGCATGATTCTTATTTTGTATTTCTTTCACATATTTATCGTCGCGTGCATTTGGCGAAATGAAACACTCGAGCGTTTGAGTGGACACTGCACGAGACATAAATACCATTTCTAATCTCTACAATGCACATCGCGCGCGTATCCGTTTTTCGCATATTTACCTAGAAATCGCGGCGACGTGCGTGATTCTCGGGCGCGATCTATGCGTGAGATAAATCCGTATACACGATCAAAAGCCGATACGCGAAATTCGCTGTCCGCTCCCACATCGCCGTCCCACAGACAAGCGGGTTTGCACACTCGAAGGATCCGCGTACGTTGTACGGAGCCGTATATGCACGACATTCGATCGGCGGCTCACCTAACGCGGCCCAGTGACCCAAATAAGCCACGGTTTGCTTATGATCGAAGCGGTTTCCGTTTCTCCTCGGGCCCAATCATGCTCCTTCGAGAGGGCCCACCTTCTTCCTCGCAGAATCGAAGTCCCCTTCTTAATTCATTTCTGATGCTCGTGTGTATACAGCTTCTGTCTCATATCTGCAAACATCGTCAACGCGAACGTCCGTTCATCTTCATTTCATCTCGGACGCAATCTTGCGTGTGATGGTATACCTTTAGATAATACATCTGAATGACATTAAAGTACCGTTTCGGTTTCTTGCGAGAAACATTCTAAGACTGCGCAAATCGGCGATTAAGCAGAAACTTTTTTTTTTATCTCGACAAGAAGAAAATAATTAAATTTTTAATAACGTTCTTGTCGCACAAAACTTTATTTCAAGTTTAATTCTAGATGCAACAGATCGTGAAAATATACTCTTTTTCTTCTTTTCTATTTCTTTTTTATTCAACGTTTTCCTGACTCGTCTCGTCCACTTTCCTTCGCGGTACATTCTCCTCCAGCTGCTGCCGTTAATTATCCCCGCGTATTTTTCACTCGTTGGTGCGTCGTGGTGGGACGATTAGCCATTTATCACGCGCGACGCGCACGTAGAAGCGATCTAATTATCGGCAAGATCTTCGACGTTGCGCGTCGTCGTCGTAAATTCCCTTCAAGAAACACGCTTTGGTCCACGACCGCGCATGTGTGTGACAGGTGAAACGACCGCGACAGATATAAGATCGTGACATCGAGCCAGAGATCGTTTTTGAATCAGATTATGCAGATGAGGCTAGTCTTCGACTAGGAAAAAGGACGGGAAAATCGGTAAATAGAATTGTGAATTTATCTTATTCCTTGATCGCAATTTTTGATTGAATCGATATTTTATTCTGTTCAATGGAGAGTAAAGGCCATTGCACGTAACAAAGTTTTAGTCATAATCGTAAGGTTGTAAGAAAATAGACCAATCACAGTCGATTATTCTCCTCGCGCTTGAAGAATAATCAAGTGTGATTGGTCTATTTTCTTACGGCCTTACGATTAAAACTAAAACTTTGTTACGTGCAATGGCCTTTACAATAATAAGATTGACATCTGTTATTTAGAACGTCTTGATGCATTTGGATCCAGTTCCAGGGATCTACGTTGTTGCAAATTACTCTTGTCGCTTTTGACAACCTGCTTCGTACAAGTTTCCTGCTTTTTATCGCCTCTTTCCGTTCGCGAATGCCTAATTAAGACAAGTGTCCGTAATATATTTTGACGTTTCGGAGATATATTGGAGATATTACATTCCGCACACTCTTTTTTTCATCGTTAACTGTTCAACGGCAGAAATGTAGACCGTACAAATCATCGTACGAACGATTAATATTTCGACCAGAGCGAGTATTAAGTCGTCATAAGTCATAAGCAATAATTCCCCCAGCGATACGTCGTTTGTTTGAAAGTTCTGGAGCATGACGGTAAATGTGGCAATACCGAGCGAGAGCGCGCGCGTTTGACATGGACCGATCGTTATCGGAGGATCATTTCTGTCATACGATTGTTCGATTACGTCATAATGAAGACCGCATTGCGATTGCATAACGAGCAATATTGCGAGCATCGGTAGGGATCTTCTTGCAGGAGAATTGCGTAAGACGTGACTAATCGTAGCGAGAGTCGTCGATCTCTAGTACAGTATTGTCTTGTTATTGTCTGTTGCACGAATTGATAATCGAAATGGATCGAAAAATCGACATATTCTCGGCGATAGTCTACGCGCGTATCCCGTGTGTGTTATTGAACGATAATTGCCATAAATAACTCTCGTGTGAAGCTGTGAAGTCAGGGACAGCTGCGCTGGAAAGCCTTAATTATCCAGCGAATTCGGATGCGCGGCGATTACTCACTGTCCAGGTGTACTAAATACCGTCACTTTTACACTCAGGCAAAGCTGTACGCGCTGTTCTCTGAGAACAAATTCATGTTTTAGCGCGGCTGTTTGATACAAATCCGTCCATTGTTACGAGAATTCTATTTTTCCATACTTAGCGTTCAACGTTAACAATGCGAAAGCAACGCACAGAAATTTTGAAATGTTTTTACTTCGCGAATGTAGTATTCTTGAAGGAAAAGTTGCGGATTCAAGAGAGAGGGTACAAGATAATTGTTATGTCCAATGTGTAAATTATGTCTTCGGTTCCTTTTAAGACCGGTTACGTCTTAAAGCATTATTTCACATGTATGGTCTTGCCTGCGACTTATTCGACAACTCATTTGAAAGAAGGAAGCATAAAGCAATTGCAACTGAAAGATAGAGCATCAATTAACAATAATGTCTTACTACATCATCGCTTTTATTTCCGAAACTAACAGTTAAAAAATAAACACGATGAGATAAAAATAATCCAATGTCTTATAAATGAACTAAATATTTGAAATATATTTTCGCGCTCTGAGAAAAGTTTATTGAAATCAGTTTCTATTAATAATACATATGAAATGTGCAATATGTTTCTCTAACTAAATTTAAAAACATTTTTAATTAACTAAATTGCTCATGATAATTGCTGATATTTAGTCTATATTAATGACATTTTAGCAATGTAAATTAATATATTGTTTGTTTTTTTAAATTACAGGTACTATCGTGGCTTTGCAAGAAAGGCGAGGATATTCTATCGAAGCACGCACAGCACATAGCGACGAACTTGACGTCGGCGCGTTTTCACGAGCGAGAATTCGAGAAGTTTTACTTCACGTCGATGGTAAGTAACGTTGATTGTCCCATAACAGTTAATGGAATCGAAAGGAGAGCCCCAAGAGGAATCAAGTCGCTCTTCTCTAAGAGAAGATTTCACTTTTTTCGCGACCCATTGAGCCGCCCGTCACGCTTCGATGCGAAAGAAATTCCGTCGTGGAGGAACCCGAAAGGTGGCTGCTGCAATAAGCGCGAGATAATAAAAGATTCCTTTGTGACAGGCGGACTGTTGCAAAGACCCCTGCCAAGTGTGCGCACTTCCTCCTTTTTTATTTATTTCTGTCAGCGAAATGAAGAAATAACGCGGAAGGAGTCGTGAAAGACGCCGAAAAAGATGGAGGCAAAAATGATTATTTCTCTCGCATCTGTAGACTTAATATGGTCAGAAAGCGCGTTCTTCAAATTGAAATACGCGAAATAGGGAATGGCGCAAAATAATGAAGATATTCACTTTAGCCATACATTCGTTTCCGCGCGGAATGTTTGTGCAATTTAAAACCATAGGATTAAAGATAGGATCTTAATTCGTTGCGCTTGAACGGATTTATCTTTGGCCGATCCATTCATGGAAGTTGAGTATACTTTTCGAAATACTGCTTTTTGTTTAGCATTAATTGTTTCTCAAAAACAGTTTTACATGATTTACGTGATTTGAGAGACATGCAGCGTCAATATAAGACAGAAGGTGGATATTTATTTATAAAATAAGATCAATGTGATTTTTAACAAGTTACCAACAATATGATTTTTGTCCGAAAATTTATTTGTACCGTCAATTTATATATTATTTTGTAATATATAAATGTACTGATATACCTACATATATAACTTGTTCTTAGAAAAAAACAGTGAATATATTTAATTGAAAATATGTAGTTTGTTATTAAAAAATTATCACAATTACACTTTCAACTTTTTTATGTTTTCTGCTCTAATTTTATAAATCTGAAATCCATGAAATCTTATATTTTATTATTTAGAATAATAAAGTAAAAAAACATTTTTTATATTATTTTTTAAAAGTTGCATTTGATGGTTCCTGAAATAAAAGATAATTTTCAAAATATATGTTTCTGAAATTGATAAATATTAAGTTATTTTTTATTTAAAATAATGCATAACTATAAATGCAACAGTTCGCTATATTATCTACTAAACAACAAATCTAAAATCGTTTTCTACTCAGCCGGTAACAGATTTCTTTTTATAGTTCCTATATACATCTAATATTAAACGTACATTTACCTTTTTACAGATATTTACATTTTGAAATAATTTTTTAATTGTGTGAAATAGTTTGGAATTATAGTAACAGTAACACTTATCAATAAATTATTTTTTATTCGATCGTTAGTCGAGTGATCTATGATCGGTAAGTAGATCGGCTAATCTTGTGGCGCCGTCTACTAAGCCGTTTGAATGTTTCTCAAACCGATGCAAGTCTTCATAACCGACTGAGCGTGGCGCGTAAATTACAATAGCGCGGTTGTTAGTGCACTATAATAGCAACAATTACTTTCTTTTTGACACTTGTTGACTAGTTAATCGGCAGAATCTCACCGACGTAATATAATGGGCTGATTTGATCGTGACTATTAATTTGAAGTAGCGGAGGCCGCTTTTTTGAATAAGTTCCACAATCAGTGTCGTACACTTCAATTACTATAATACCTGCTAAGATGGATGATGGAGAGTCGATTAACATTCTATACAGCAGGTGAAACTTGTATATCTACTACTAAGTGCATACCGATGTATTTTCTTATCAATTGATAGCGCGGTAGCATTCTCGCTTCCGTCCTCTGATAACGGATATTGATAGGACTTGTTGCGATCTTGACCTTTGACGGTTTTCCGGTGATTTCTCGAAACTTTCACAATCGATTATATAGTAAACATTTTTTTTTATTTTTCGTCAAAGATTGACTATACAAGGCCCGGTCAATTAAATTAGCAAATTTTTTTCTATTCTATATCTATCACTTATTCTTAAAATAATTAACTTTTTGATTGTCTCGTAATCGTAATTTTGTTTAGAGATAACGCAAAGAGAAAGTAGTTCGATATCGAGAGTATTTGCATATATATAAATGAGAGCATATTCGAGAGATAACAAAGTTGCGATCATACAGCACGCGCATTTCTGTAAGCTTAATTAAAGCGCGATTACGTGAAATTTAGCACGGCAATTAAGCGAGTCGAACGATCGTAAATGTTACGCTATCGATGTTACGCGACGAGTCACAACTTAGCGCGATAATAACACGTTGGGCCCTCGGCCGGTCCGTGTCGTGGAAAATTTATTGCGAAAGAAATCGGCGTTTTTCCTTTTTTGCGAAAGACTAAACTTTCTCTCCGGCGGTAGTATTGCCAAAGTATTACGCGTGTAGCACAGACAGTTTCAGGGCGCAATAAAGGTCCATCGGTGATCCGACGGACAGTTGTTACTTAATTAATCAGCCTCAAAGCGATGCGAAACGTCGGGGCGAACGATCAGAGAGATATAAAAGCCGGTCGGGCCCGACGGTGCAACGTGCAACGGTCGGTTGTGCGTGGACGTTAATTAATCACGTTGCACCCACTTCAATTATTCGTTTCATGCAGGATGCGCTCGAGCGCGTGGGTCATTATCCAAAAATGTACCCATCTCTCGTGCCCTCCCCCATTTTCTCTTCTCTTTCTTTTATACCTCTTACGCGGCCCAATAACCCCCATTGCTACCCACACGCTGTCATAATTGTCACCGATTATTGCCGCGATGGTCGAAAAGCGCCATTATTTGGGTCATCTTGACGGAACTGGAACGGAATTATTGGCGATTTATTATTGAACGATCCGCCGCGCGCGTTTCGCTCCCTGTACGACGAACGGGCGGTATATGGAGCATCGAGTAATTACACGACACTGCTCGAACGGCGAGCGCGTCAATTGAAGCCGCCGTAAGTTTAATGGCGACGAAAATTGCCCCCATCTGACTATTTCGGAAAGATATCGCGATATCGCTGTACCGTGTCTTTCCTGAATCAGTTACTCGGTAGTGGCCGATTTTATGTTCCGTTTCGAAGCCAAGATAATCGAAAACGTGTTTCGCAACGACGACCGCGCGTCGGTGTTTTTCCACGAGTATTTTCTACGAGTGTTGCGCGAATATTGACGACCGCGGATACAAGCTGGCGTAGAATGCAATCGTCGATAAGAATGCAAAAATTATCGTAGACCTTGGGTGAGTTAAGCGGCGAAAAATACAACCGCGATCAAAGTACAAAACGTTGTTAACACGACGGTGGAACGGGAGGATGTTGTTGAGAGGGACCGCCAGGGAGGAGTAATCGTAACAATGTACACGGTCGTTCTCGTAACCCAATTACATGGCGCACCGCCGCGCGCCGGCGGATAAGGCGAGGAAGTCGCGCCAGGAATAGGAACGAAGCATTATGTCGGCACCTATAACGGCGACAATCGCGACTCGTGAAATCACGGCCGATTCTGGGAAAGAAATTCCATCGAGTTTTAGAAACCGCTGTGGCCGCGTCATTACCTCGCGAATCGCGGCGTGATCGCGCGATTGTTGCGAGCGTGCCTGGTGAACACTCGACATCGGGTGTAATGGACTCTGAGGAATTTGGTAACGATCGATCGATCGTGAAAGTGGCAATAGTCGTGCGACCGAAATGCAAAACTCAATGCAAACGAAAACGGAATCTTACTCGCGGAATCTTACGCTAAATGCTTGATTAACTCTGTCAACTCCTAGAACTTACATTGAAAAAAAAAAAATTAAGATACCAAAGCACATTATTCACATTTGAGAAATATCCAAAGCAAATTGTTCATACAACAGTTATTTAGTTAGTTAGTTATCAAATATATCTTTATGAATAGGCTGCAATTTTGTAACCGTATAATATCCAAGTTTTACAAATTTTAATTCATTATTTTAAAGGCGTGATCCATCTTATGATTTTTTGGTAATAATAAACAACGATATAATGATTTGCCAATGATGCAAATCAAATCAACTGTCCTTTTATGTATAACATCAATATCATAATTACATTAATATCTACGCATGAGAGATACCCGCGGAACGAATACAATGTTACATCCGGCCAACGTGCTCTTCGATACCACCGGCGTTGAGCGCGTGTCATGAATCGCGATCGGGAAACCATTTCAAAATCCAATTGCAAAAGCGCGAATCGGCACAAGGCGGTTATGCTCGTTAGCTCTCGCCGTACTTCTCTTATACCCGATGCGCAACTTTCCATCATAATCGGTCGTCACGCGATAATCAAGGCGACGATATGCTGACCGCTATCTGATGTGCCGCATAGTCGGATTCTTTTCGCAATACTTTAACTTTAAGTGTTTTTATAAAAATCCAGGTCGCAATTACCGAGCTACTTAATTTGCAGTTGACCTCGGTTGGGACCTCAACTGGTCAGTCGGGATGATACCGCACGTTGGATCGTTAAACGAGTTAAAAAATTAAATCTTAGGTTAACGGTTTTTGAAATAGAAAAAATAAACAAGTTTGTTCGTAGGAAATTATTAGATGCTGTTAATCGAGAATCCAATAAATAATCAACAAGATCTTTATTCACACAGTGCAATTTAATGCGGCACTTTTGAATATTATAGAATTTTCTCGGAATTTTCCTATTGCGTCATTTAGTTCTTCAAAATAAAATTTTTTATTTCTAATCTTCGAGTCCGGATTTTAATAATTTTGCACGATAAAACCCCCTCGATTTCACCTTGGAAAAGATCAGAGTATAAGCTTCTTTGAGCTCAGTTCAATCACTAACGCTCACTTGGTATCATTTCAATCGAGTGTGTTTATTAGGTGCTAAGTAGCATTTACGGGGGCACACGGGTGGGTCCCTCGAATTTTAGAACGTCTATCGCGCGGAACTGCGCCCACACCCCCGTGAAAGCGAGTAATCGCCTAATCGTGCTCGACCCCACGCGTAACACCCACTTAATGCACGATAGATTTATCACGGG